GTAGAAAATGTAGAGAAAGGTTTCTTAATGATTGTTTCTTTCAGTGGTCTTTTGTAAGTGTTAACTTAAGCATCGCAGATGGCTGTTCTCCAGCAGGCTAAAATGGTACAATCCCGGTATGTAGGTTTCACAGCCCAATTCAATACAGAAGCATTTAGCACATGGTGATACAGCATGTTGTATTGCTTTGTATGGTCTTCTCTGTTCAACTGCTAATCCTTGGAAAACAACACCATAGCTGATGTTGCTCTCTATGTGCCCTGTTACCTAATCAGGGGCTGGGCACCGTAAAAAGGTCTGTAAAGAGGCTGGAGTGTGCAGTCATGGAGGACAAAAGGCAGTGTTTCCATGTTGGAATGAGGACCCATGATTGCCTTGGATCTGCTGGCAAAACTGTTGGTGCCATCCCTGATACATCAAAGCAGATGATCCCAAGTCCAGTCTTTTGTTGGACACTCATGTGGAATTTATTTAAAAGTGATAGAATCTTTGCACATATAAACAGCTGACAAATGATGGGGAATGTGTGTCCAAACAAATTCAGTTGGCAGGACATGCAGTGCTCCTGGGAGGAAGCCCCTAGCTATCCATCACACCTTCAAAGATGAACAGGGCGGACCTAGTTTTCCCTTCAAAGGCAGGAAAAGTTAGTGCTCTGGGAAATCGGAGCCCAGTGGGAATTTCAGACACCCTTCCAGCTTGTAGGTCGTTATTCATTATTCTTACCCTAAATGGCCATGACACATAATCTCTTTTCTAATTTTATTATTTTACTTGCAATCATAAAACCGTAACTTTTTAGACATTCAGATGAGATTAAGGGAGGAGAGGTGGACTAAGGCTTTTACAATCTTTGATTCTCTCTGAAAATGTGTTTACTTACTTTACCAGGAAGTTGGTTTTGTTTTGTTTTGTTTTCTACGGATGCCAAGAGGGGATTAATGAGTAGCTGCTGGGTTTGCCAGCTTTCTTTGGATTTCAGTTTATGTAATTAAGCCATTCCCAGAATGACTCGAGGTTTTCACTCTGCATCAAAAACATGTCTCTCAAAGGTGTTCCAGTTGGAGATCAGAAACAACCCCAGCCTGCTGTACAGAGGGAGAAGGAGCGAAAAGCTTAACCTTTCTTTACAACATCCTTCATATGTTTAAAAAAAAAAAAAGGGTTAGCTATGCTTTGGGGCCAAATTCATTGAACTGTAGTGAACAGAAAGCAGGTGAGAACTGAAGTTCAGCTTGGGCTGCAGCTGGGGGAGTTCAAATGAGGTTAACAATAGAAGTAAGGTGTTTGGGAATTCCACCCTGGGGTTTTGGTTGCATTTCTAGCAACCAGAGCCTCATCCGGGGTCAATGTTCAATGACTACAGCATTCAACAGATGTGCTAGGAACCTTTTGTTTGCCAGGACCAGTTCTAGTGGCTGGAGGTACAATAGGGACTGAAACAGCCAAAGTGCCTTCTCTTAGGGTGCTCTTGGCAACAAAGGGAGTGTGAACAGGTTTTTATTGAGTGCCAAGGAGGCCGAGTGTTGTGCTGCTGTTGATTGGGCTGTTGGGAAAAAATAGTTGTGTTCCTCAAAGAAGTGATCATGTCACTGGGAAGTGAAGACATCTCTCCACAGGACAAGAGAACCACTCAAGGATGCAGCCAAATACTGAGCTGCTGGTGCAGGCAGATGCTCTGTGGCCGATAAGTTTACAGTGGATACTGGCAAGGGGCTCAAACATCATGCTGACTCATCTTTATGGCACTAGGCAGTAAGGGTGGTAGACTGTCCTTTGGTTCTGTTTTTCTCTTACAACCCATCACCCTTTTGCTTTGTGCATCCATGTAGTGCTTATATGTAAAAGGAACTAGTTGTTGGGACCCTGCCACCAACACGGAAGCTCTCGATTGAATTTCTAGCTCTTACTCCTGGCCCAGCCACGGGTATTGAGGCATTTGGAGAGTGAACCAGCAGTTGGAAGGGATCTCTCTCTTTTGCCCTACTCCAAATAAAAATAAATATCTAGATGGAATTAATAGAAATTCCTCTTAACCAGGAAGCCAGAATTACTAACAGTTCCTGCATTCATGAAGCATACTAGGGGATGAAGTCATAGTTCAGTTATACAAATAAAACCTACATTGTGCTAGTTGCTGCACCAGGGAGGGTAGCACATTAGAGGGCATGTAGCCTGGTAAGAAAAGTCAAGGCCAGCTTCCTGGAAGAAAAGCTATCTTTGCTGAAACCTGAAGGATGAGGAGGAATTAATCAGGGGAGCAGCAGGAGCAGAGAGAACAGCATGAATAAAGAACAAAGTTGGAATGGACACTGCTCAGAAGATCCCATGCTGGCCTTGAGATGTGTTTAGCAAGTTTTCTGTCTCTGCTCCACTTCAGATCCAGTTCTCTGCTAATGGCCTTGGGAACTAAACCAGCAAATGGAAGACCACCACGTTCTCTATGTATATATAAATCTCTGCCTTTCAAATAAGTAAATCTTTTTAAAAGAAAGAATTGACAGTGGAGAAGAGGAAACGGGATGAGTGACAATTGTATTTGCATTTCTGCAGGGTCACTGTGCCTGAGATATGACTGGTGTTTGGAGAGAGACATACTCAACAGGGCACTTGCAAGGATCTACACAAACCAGGGCAACAAATTAGGACCAGGCGTTTGAGGGGAAGGGCGAGAAAAATAGACAAATGTAGCAGGTACAAGGGTAGCAAGTGCAGAGATATAATAGGTAAAGGTGACAGGGCTTGATGGATGCAAGGGTTGAAGGAAGTATGAAAAGGAGTTCCAGGTTTCTGGCTTGTAAAACCAACTGAAGGGTGAAGTGTTGCCCAAAACAGGCAAACCCGGCTGAGAACCAGTTTGTGGAAGAAGATTCTGGGATCAGTTTTGAACATGTTGGGTTTGAGTGCCTTTGAGGCATCCAGAGGGAGGTCAGATATGTAGGAGGATAAGTGGGCTCAGTGCTTGGAGGAGAGTCTGGGTCTGTGAGTCATGGGTATGGGCAGCACTAGAGACTATGGCTGTGGATGAGATCACTAGGTGGGCAGAGAGTGATGAAAGGGGCCTCGAACCCAGCCTGGTGGAATTCCAACACTTAATGACCAGGAGAGGGGAAGCCAATAACAGGAGCAGAAAATATCCTGCAGAACAAGAGAAGATCAGCTTGGGGGAAGCAACAGCAGGTGGCCAAGAAAGGAAGCTGCTGAGAGGTCAGAAAAAGGCAAAGAGTCGGTAATGACAATAACAGCCATGCAACTGTCAGTGACAGTGTTCGTGGCCATCTTTATGGGGCACCAGTTCTGAGCCGGGCAGTGCTCAAATAAATTCTTTTTAATTTATTTTCATTTTATTTGAAAGATGGATTGAGATCTTCACCCACTGAATTCACTCCCCAAATACCCATGACAACTAGGTCAAGGCCAAAACAAAATCAGGAGCCAAGAACTCCTGGGTTTCCTACTTTGGTGGCTGGGACACAAGTACTTGAGTCATCACCTGCGGCCTCCGAGGTGCATCTTAACAGGAAACTTAACTCAGAAATTGAACCAGGACTTGAACCAGGCACTTTGAAATGGGATGTAGATGTCCTAAGTGACATCTTAACCATTTTTTTCAAATGTCTGCCCCAAAGCCAAGCATTGCAACATGGACTTTAATCCTCCTAAGAAGGCAGATCCTATTATAATCATTGTTACTGAGCACAAAGAGATGAAGTCATCTGGGTGAGGTCACACAGCCGGTAAGTGATGAAGGTGGAGTGAATGTTGTCTCTTCCCCATGGCCCCTGGCCCAAATGCTGCGTGTCCAGTATTGGTGGGATAGAAGGCATCCAGGGTAGAGTTGGGGAAGGGATGTTTGTATTTTTGCAAACATGACCAAGGAAATGCTCCCTGGCTGGGCCAGCCCAAGTGCAAGTTCAGTGACTGGAAACAGGCACTCTTGTTGGCCCTTTGTGATAGTGTCAGGTTGCTAGACAGAGGCAGTATTAGATCTGTGATTCAGCCATGTTTGTGAAGGAGGCTTAGCCAGGTGCTTCAGGGCAGCAAAATGGGGTCTCGGCCTCTGATCATCTTGCCTCTTGATTCTCAAATCTCCCTTTGTCTCCCTCTCTCTCAAGGACACTTGTGGCTGCATTTAATGCCTACTCTAGTAATCCAAGGTAGTCTCAACATCAATCATCTTATGGTATTGGTGAAATTCTTTCATGCCTTGTCAGGGAACAGTCACATATGCCAGGAATTAGGACCTCAATATCTTTTGGAAGACGACTCTTCAGTCTACCCCGTGTATCAAGCTAACTGGAGCCTTCAGAAGGACAATCTTGTCCTAGGTCACACCTCAGATTAGTGCCAGGTCTCCTTTTCTCTCAGCACCATACTTCTTCATTCACTAGATCAAGTGGATGCCCACAAAAGCAAGAGGGGCCAGCATCGTGGCATAGCTGCTAATGACAATTGCCTGCAGTGTCAGCATCCCAAGTTCCAAGTGCTGCATTTCCTTATCAACTTCCTACTAATGTGCCTGGGGAAGCAAGGGAAGATGACCTAAGTGCTTGGGCCCCTGCACTCAAATGGAAGATCCTAATGAAGGTCCTGTCTCCTGGTTTCTACCTAGCCTGTTCCTGACCATTGTGCCCATTTGGGGAATGAACCAGCAGATGGAAAAAAATCTGTGTTTATGTGCGTGTGCGTGTGTGTGTGTGTGTGTGTGTCCCCTCTTCTCTCTCTTTAGCTCTGCTTTTCAAGTAAAAAAATAGATATATCTAGGGAGGGAAGGAAAAAAAAGAGAAAGGATGTTAAAGTAACCCTCACACCCTAAATGTGTGTTTTACTCCTCTGTTTCCTTTCTGGAGCAGGTGCTACCAAGTTCGCTCCTCTCCCCTGCCCCATGCACACCTGAGCATTCCACCTCGAATCCTGGCCATCCACAGTGGGCTCACAACTGCAGACCCATGGAGGCAGCTGCGATGACATCAGCTCAATGGCATTTTCTCTCTTTTCAGGACCGCCTCTTTTTTGTCATGGAATATGTCAATGGCGGAGACCTCATGTTCCAGATCCAGCGCTCCCGAAAATTCGATGAGCCTCGTTCCCGGTTCTACGCCGCAGAAGTGACATCAGCCCTCATGTTCCTTCACCAACATGGAGTCATCTACAGGTAGCCTGGCCTCGCTTTTGTTTCCTGAAAGCATGTGAACGCACACACACACAAAAGAATTCTCCAGACATTTGAACTGGTTTTGGCTTCTGCCCCACTTGTCTCTTAGCAACATATTTTAGATGAGTTGTTTGTTCCAATTTGCTTATGGAGGACTTTTTTGAGGGCTGTTTATCACTGTGAATGCTAATATTCAAATGGCCCCAGGAGATTCGACCTATGGTTTGTGCCAGTTGTGATTGAATGCCCAGGTCCAGGACGGTGAGTGACCTTGGAGTGACCCTGTCTTCTCTCCTTCTCTCCCTCCCCCTTTCTTGGACATCAGGGCATTCTCTTTTCTTTCCCTTCTGTGCCATGAACTTCCTCCCCTTCCCAATCTCTTGCCACTTCCTGAGTTTGTTTGGCTTAGTTGTCTCCAGCGATAGAATCAAGGAAGGAGGAGTTGCTTGGGGTCTGGGGGTTTATTAACTGGGAGAAGGGTGGGGTGGGGGATGGGAACTAGACAATATCCAACAGGAAGTGACTTTTTGTGGATCATCCAGTCCTCTGTTACTGCCCAGTCTGGTTCCAAGAAACACACACACACACACACACACACACACACACACACACACACACACACACACTCATTTTCCAGTAAAGGAGCAGGACTATTTATGCAGGCTTTTCTGCAAGGCCAGGAATTTGGGGGAGGAGTAAATATTTATAATTAGAAACAAGGACACTAAAAGTCCTTAAGGGTTTTCAGTGACTGTCAATTTCTTTAGTTGGTCTTTGCCTCTTGCTCCTTTTGATCTTTTTAAGATGGATAGAAGAGGAACTGACTTGGTTTACCCTAGAATGCAGTTTGCCTGCCTACACTCTGCAAGGCGGCTCACCATTTCTTCATGGAGTTTGGGGTAACTCCAACCAAGGTTCTCCTTTCCTTCATTGTGCCTAAAGCAAGGGAAAATAACTAGCATTCCTACAACCCATGTAACAGAGCTCGTGATCTTGAGGCTGCTGTTTGTGGCTCCCCACGATGGGGAGGTCTGTGCATTTGTTTCACCTCAAACTTGGAGGTGACAGACAGCATCAGGTTATTAGCTCCCAGCTTCTGTGGGTCAGGGTTCCTGTTCAGGGTCTCCCCAGGCTGCCACTGAGCGGTCAGCCAGGCTGCATTCTCATCCAAAGCTTGGCCTCCTCCTCCAAGTTCACAAGTTTGTTGGCAGAGTTCTCCTCGCAGCTTCAGAACTCACAGTCTTTGCATTAACGCCAGAAGAAGGGAAAGTCTTCTATGAATCTCTAACTCTAGGAAAAGCCCAGCCTCTCTTTTAAAGGAATGTCATTAGCCTCATCCAAGATGATGTCCTTTTCAGTGACCCAGACCTACATACTTAGGAGTCTTGATCACATTTGCAAATGATCTTTGTACTTCATCTCAGTAGGGAAATCACATCACCTTTGCCCTAGTCTGTTGGTTAGAGGTAAGTCACAGGTTCTTCTGAGCTAAGGGGAAGAATGATGAGATTGTGCCCACAGCAGTCCGATAAGCCTGTCTCTCCCCACTCTCTGAAACACCTTTATTTTGGACTCACTGAGCTGCTTAGCTTTCTTCAAGCTCACCTGCTGATTTCCACTTTGGTTGTGTTCTTGCTCTTCTCTGACCCACTTCTTGGTTAGCCCAGAAGCCTTATGCCACACAGTCTACCTGGTCCCATCCACGAGTGTGAATCTTGCTGCTTCGGCTTTCTTTGGTGAACGCATTGCAGTTGAGGAGAGTTCCTACTGCATGGCCCCTGTTCACCATTGTCAAGACAGGCATCTATGTCTATTCTCTAAAGAGCCCTTTCTTCGTCCTCCTTTTTAAACCAGCAGTCTCGTTATATACTCTCTACCTATAGTAAAGTCAAGAAATGATCACTGCCTTCAGAGCAATTTCCAGGCAAGTTAGGGATACAGGTGTTACATACAAGGTTGTTTCCTAAAAGTTCATGGAAAATATGTATTATGAAAACCCTACGTATGGATTTGAAAATTCTTTGCACTGAAATGCACTTATTTGTTAATTCTATGTTCCATTAATCTTTGGAAGTAGCTGGTGTGTGAAAAGACTATCTGCTCTGTAAGACAGTGTTTTCTTAGGAACCAATGGACATAGCATGGCTCCATACCATTCAATGAATGGGTTCTCCCTGGCAATGTTGTGCTTTAGTTATAGTGCCTGTTCCATCATTGAGACCTTCACATGGGAGTGCTTCCCCAGGTGGCCTAGAGCAATATTGCTTGCAGTCACTGTTTGTCACATCTGTGTTGGTCTATAGCCTTCCAGTCTAATGTCTTTGACTCTAAAAGACACCCACCCCTTCTGATTTTATGAATTCATGAAGGCCATGTGCATGAATGAGGGGTTTCTTTAAAAGTTTCACGAAACTGTATGTGATAAAAGAACCTTGCTCAGATTTCAAAAGATGTTTGCACAAAATAAACATTATTTTGTAAAAAGTTATTTAATTGTTTATTAGAAAGACAGTTATATGGAAAGAGGGAAAGACAGAGAAAGACACCATCCTCTGGTTCAGTCCTCAAATGGCTACAATGGCCAGGACTATCCCAGGCCAAAGCTGCTTCTGGGTCTCTTACACACTGCTTTCCCAGGCTCGTTAGCATGGAGCTAGATCAGAAACGGATCAGCCTGGTCTCAAACCATTGCCAATGGGATGCCAACATTGCAGCTAGTGGCTTAACCCATTACACCACAATGCTGGTTCCAGAATAAACATCTTTTAATTCCATTTCCAGTAATTTTCTGAATATTCTCATGTATTAGTCAATCTTTTGTTAGTAGGATGAAATACATTGGATGTAAAAAGGGAATGTTTTCGTTGGATCATAGTTTTTGAGGCTCACAGTCCCAGAGCAGCTGCCCATTTGTTTAGCACCTGATGTAAGCAATCCGGAGGCAACACAGAGTGATCTCCAACAAAGGGGATGCTGCTTAAGTGCATCTGTATCTGTTGTAAAACCACCAGGGTCTGATTACCAGGACTCTACCCAAAAGACTCAATCTAATCACCTCCCAGAGGCCGAATCTTAATCCATAATTGAATTAAGCTTCCATTTAGTACTGTTCAGGTAAGACCCGGGGGATCAAGCTTTTAACATCCAGGCCTTTGTGAGACACTTAAATTCAGCTCCAAACCACACATATTTACCCAGAATTGCTTTTTACTAAGATATACTGGAAAAAAAATTAGAGATCTTTTATTTGGCCTAGACTCCAAAAGGAATTCATGGAATCACATGTACGAATTGCTGATTGCTTTCTTTTCCCATCCTCCCTTATGATACAATTGAACTTTAAAAAAAAAAAAGAAAGAAATTATGAAAGTAGTTGTCCTGGAACAGACATTGTGGGGCAGCATAGTAAGCTGTTTCTCATGCCTCTCATGCCATCCCTGTCCCCTTTGGGAGTACTGGTTTGAATTCCAGCTAACCTGCTTCTGATTCAGCTTCTTATGAATACGTCTTGGGAGGCAGCCAGTGATGGCTCAAGTCCTTGGGATTCTGACATTTACATGGGAGACTTGGATGGAGTTTCTGGATTGTAGCATCATCCTGGCTTATCCTTGACTGTTGCTATTTGGGAGTGAGCTAAAATATAGAAGAGATTCTCTCTCTCTCTCTCTGTCTCTGTCTCTCTCATGCGTGCGTGTGTTTCTCTGCTGTTCAAGTAGAGAAAAATAAGTGCATAAACATTTTTTAAAGTCGTCATCCTAGGACAAATGAAAATGCAACCAATAAGAAAAGTTGTAAAATCAGTTTCTCCTTCAGCAATCTCTTAGCTACCCAAGGGTGAAAGAGTTGAGCAGTGCCTGGAGATTCCTCCAAGAAATCTTCATGTCTGATTCCCTTGAGTGAAGTTGAGATACTATTTGCCTGGTTTCTTTCATGATGGAGCTGAGAGAAATGCTAAAATCAGACTGTGGCAGAGGTCATGAATGCAGGTGGGGCCCAAGGAGACTGTTTATGCAAGTCATCATGAGTGGTCAGCATTGTCATCTGGAGGGCCAACATTTGGTCTTCATCCACAGAGGTGGTAGCTGTAGGTTATAAGGTGTTCCTGCTCATAAACCCCCCTGAAGTCTTCCATTCTTTCTGAAGCCATCATCCCCACTCCCTGAGAGTCAGTCTACCCTGGGTGCCTGTTGGAGCTTTCCTCAGTGAACGTAATACTAATAAAAGAGCAAGTGAGAATTCAAAGTGGGAAACAAACATCAAGTTAGGACCTCAGGAAAACAATGTTCACCTATATCTTTAATGTCTGGAAACAATCCCTAGAAGGAGGGACTGGGGACGTACCTAATATAGAGGTCTGTAACTCTGCTCTCCGGGCCAGCAGCTGTGCTTTCCAGACAAGCTCTTCCTGGGAAGTACGTACCAGTTTAGTAAGCTTGCTTTTCTAAGGGGGAAGTGCAAGGCTTGACTTCTAAAATGCTCCCTGCCATTGGCATAGTTAGGGATGCCCCAACCACATGGAGGTCCTCAGTTCAACCTGGTTTTGTAGTCAGAAAATCTCGCCTTCAGCAGCTCATCTCCTTCCCATGCCTTCCCAGTTTGCTTAAAGCAAACATAAGCAGGGGAGGAGATGTGGTAGGGACCCTGTTGTTTGCCTTCCCAGTCTTCTAGGATTTGGTTCATGGCAAGTCCTTGGGTGTACACCTTCCTCAAAGCATTTTTCTCAGCTGTCAACTTTCTCCCATCTCATATAGAAAATGGCATTTTAGAGGTTATTTTAATTAGATAGATAGATAGATAGATAAGGAGTCAAACAGTTCTACAAGGTGTTTAGGGGAGCAAAAGACAGTTTTTTTCCCTTCCTTACCCTCAATTTACCCTCCCAAACAGGCAGCCACTTTAGACTTTTTGACATAACTCTTTTGATGTGGAGCATTGTTTTTCTAAATAATGTTATTTTATTTTATTTTTATGAAGTATATTCATTCTGAACATTATCTAGT